AATTAGACGATTTCCAACCACAATCAGTCGGTTGCCTACAAGCCCCCTGCTAAGACATATTGGATCAACGCCTTCACTTGCAGACTGCTTCCTCAAGATCTTCTTGCTTTGTAATGTTTTGGAATATGATCATATGATGGAGAAAACATCACAATGATCCTGAGTGTGCCGCAGGTTTTTTTTTTTTTTTTTTTCTTTCTTTTCTCGTTCTGTTTCCTCCTTTTTTCTCCGTCCACCCCCTGGGACACCTGATACAGTGTCATGACATTGTATAGTGGGGTTGTTTTGTGTGTGTGTTTTTTGTTTTTTTTTGTTTTTTTTTTTTTCTCTCGAACTTGGAACAAGAGTCTAGGACAGGGGTGGGCAAACTTTTTTTGACTTGAGGGCCGCAATGGGTTCATATATTGGACCCCCACCCGGACCAAGAGTAGATGAATGATGTGTATGTGTCATCCATAGTAAGTATAGTAATATTCCCCCCATAGTAAGCATAGTAATTCATCCCCCATATAGTAATTCATCCCCCATATAGTAATTCATCCCCCATAGTCCCCCATCCCCCCATAGTAATTCATCCCCCATAGTAATTCATCCCCCATATAGTAATTCCCCCCATATAGTAATTCGTCCCCCCATATAGTAATTCGTCCCCATAGTAATTCATCCCCCCTATAGTAAGTCCCCCCCTATAGTAATTCATCCCCCATATTAATTCATCCCCCATATAGTAAGTCCCCCATATAGTAATTCCCCTCCCCATATAGTAAGTCCTCCATATAGTAATTCATTCCCCATATAGTAAGTCCCCCCTATAGTAATTCATTCCCCATATAGTAAGTCCCCCATATAGTAATTCATCCCCCATATAGTAAGTCCCCCCCCCCTGTGTCAATTCACTTACCTTTGGTCCGTGCGTTCCTCTCGTATTCCCGCCCCCCCCCACCCCGTTCTGGTCTTCAGGGAGGACTGTGAGAGGAGTTCGTCACGCCCCCCCCCCCCCCCCCCCCTACATCCTGGCTGCCCCGCCTACATCCTGACAGCTGCAGAGTCCTGACGTCCCAGAGGAGGGAGGGGGGCGGCCATCCGAGAGGGGGGGCGGCCATCCGAGAGGGGGGGCGGCCATCCGAGAGGAGAGGAGGGAGGGGGAGGGGAGAGGAGGAGAGGAGGGAGGGGAGCGGGCCCGCCCGGCACACCCCCCCGCATCTAAATTTGTAAAGAGCCGCGGCTTGCCGACCACTGGCCTTGCGGGAGCCTAGCTCCGCGGCCGGATTAAAAGGTCCGCCCGGGCCGTAATACGGCCCCGGGCCGTAGTTTGCCCATTGCTGGTCTAGGAAGTGATTCCAAAGGGGAACACTCACCAATCCCCCTATAGCTAATCCCAGAGGGGTTTTTTCCCCTCTATTGGATTATTGGGTGTCCCTCTTTGGAATTTTTGGAAACCCTTCCACCACTCTTGCGGACCTTTCCTTCCCTCTTGCGGACCTTTCCTTCGCTCTTGTGGACCCCTCCTTCCTTCCCACTCTTGCGGACCCCCCCTTCCTCTTGTGGACCCTTCCCTTCGCTCTAGCCCCCCTTCCCTTCGCCTCTAGCGGACCTTCCCTTCGCTCTACCGGACCCCCCCTTCCCTTCGCTCTAGCGGACCCTTCCCTTCGCTCTAGCGGACCCCTTCCCTTCGCTCTAGCGGACCCTTCCCTTCGCTCTAGCGGACCCTTCCCCCTTCGCTCTAGCGGACCCTTCCCTTCGCTCTAGCGGACCCTTTCCTTCGCTCCCCCTTAAAGCCCCCCCTCGGACCCTTTCCTTCGCTCTACTCTCAGCGGACCCCTTCCTTCGCTCTAGCGGACCCCCTTTCCTTCGCTCTAGCGGACCCTTTCCTTCGCTCTAGCGGACCCTTTCCTTCGCTCTAGCGGACCCTTTCCTTCGCTCCCCAGCGGACCCTTTCCTTCGCTCTAAGCGGACCCTTTCCTTCGCTCTAGCGGACCTTTTCCTTCGCTCTAGCGGACCCCCCTTCGCTCTAGCGGACCTTTTCCTTCTTTTTGTTATATATTTATTGATCATTGTTTTATGATAGCGCTGCACTTTGTGTGTGGAAGTTTTATATACAGGTCAGTGATAAGGAGAACCTGATCTTCAGCTTCATTCCAGATGGCAGAGCTTTATCTGAATGTTGTTTTTCTTTCAGCACTTCTCAGTGGAAGGCCAGCTGGAGTTCAGAGCTCTGCTGTTTGCCCCCCCCGGGCGCCCCCTTCCCCACTTGTTTGAGAACCGGAAGAAAAAGAATAACATCAAGCTGTATGTGCGCCGAGTCTTCATTATGGACAACTGTGAGGAGCTGATCCCGGAGTATCTCAGTAAGTGACCCATCAGCTTCATTTTTTTTTTATAAATTTATAAAGTGCTGATGAAGTAAAATGTAATGAGCCCCCCTTCCCCTCATACTCCTCAGACTTCATTCGGGGTGTGGTGGACCTCTGAGGATCTCCCTCTGAACATCTCCAGAGAAATGCTTCAGCAGAGCAAGATCCTGAAAGTCATCCGGAAGAACCTGGTGAAGAAATGTCTGGAACTTTTCACAGAACTGGCCGGAGGACAAAGAAAACTACAAGAAGTTCTATGAGCAGTTCTCCAAGAACATGAAGGTTGGTGTCATGGAGGACTTGGGGCCCATCTGGTCTGATGTGCTGATTGGACCAAACAACTGTCTTCCTCCTCAGATCAGCTGACTCACAATTTTATTTTTTTTTTCTGTAGCTCGGTATTCACGAAGATTCCCAAAACCGCAACCCCTTTCTGAACTTCTGCGATACTACACCTCTGCGTCGGGGGATGAGATGGTGTCACTGAAAGACTATTGTACGTACCCAAATGAAGGAGAACCCCAAACACATCTACTATATCACCCCCACTCTGTACCGGAACGTTCTCAGGACCTGTTTTGTGTGACTCTTCCTCCCCTCTCACTCTTTTCTCCCTCGATCTCGCTACCCTCCCTCGATATCGCTCCCTTTTCTCCTTCCCTCCCTCGATCTCGCTACCTCCCTCGATCTCGCTCCTTTTCTCCTTCCCTCCCTCGATCTCGCTCCTTTTCTCCTTCCCCCCCATCCCTCGATCTCGCTCCTTTTCTCCTTCCCTCCCTCGATCTCGCTCCTTTTCTCCTTCCCTCCCTCGATCTCGCTCCTTTTCTCCTTCCCTCCCCTCCCTCCCTCTCGCTCCCTTTTCTCCTTCCCTCCCTCGCTCCTTTTCTCCTTCCCTCCCCCGCTCCTTTTCTCCTTCCCTCCCTCGCTCCTTTTCTCCTTCCCTCCCTCGCTCCTTTTCTCCTTCCCTCCCTCGCTCCTTTTCTCCTTCCCTCCCTCGCTCCTTTTCTCCTTCCCTCCCTCCCTCGCTCCTTTTCTCCTTCCCTCCCTCGATCCTTTTCTCCTTCCCTCCCTCGCTCCTTTTCTCCTTCCCCTCCCTCGCTCCTTTTCTCCTTCCCTCCCTCGCTCCTTCTCTCCTTCCCCCGATCCCTCGATCTCGCTCCTTTTCTCCTTCCCTCCCTCGATCTCGCTCCTTTTCTCCTTCCCTCCCTCGCTCCTTTTCTCCTTTCCCTCCCTCGATCTCGCTCCTTTTCTCCTTCCCTCCCTCGATCTCGCTCCTTCTCTCCTTCCCTCCCTCGATCTCGCTCCTTCTCTCCTTCCCTCCCCCCGATCTCGCTCCTTTTCTCCTTCCCCCGCGATCTCGCTCCTTCTCTCCTTCCCTCCCCCGATCTCGCTCCTTTTCTCCTTCCCTCCCTCGATCTCGCTCCTTTTTTCTCCTTCCCTCCCCCCGATCTCGCTCCTTTTCTCCTTCCCTCCCCCGATCTCGCTCCTTTTCTCCTTCCCTCCACCGATCTCGCTCCTTTTCTCTTTCCCTCCACCGATCTCGCTCCTTTTCTCCTTCCCTCCCGCGATCTCGCTCCTTTTCTCCTTCCCTCCCGCGATCTCGCTCCTTTTCTCCTTCCCTCCCGCGATCTCGCTCCTTTTCTCCTTCCCTCCCGCGATCTCGCTCCTTTTCTCCTTCCCTCCCGCGATCTCGCTCCTTTTTCTCCTTCCCTCCCGCGATCTCGCTCCTTTTTCTCCTTCCCTCCCGCGATCTCGCTCCTTTTCTCCTTCCCTCCCGCGATCTCGCTCCCTTTTCTCCTTCCCTCCCGCGATCTCGCTCCTTTTTCCCCTTCCCTCCCTCGATCTCGCTCGCTCCTTTTTCTCCTTCCCTCCCCCGATCTCGCTCCTTTTTCTCCTTCCCTCCCCCGATCTCGCTCCTTTTTCTCCTTCCCATCCCCCGATCTCGCTCCCTTTTCTCCTTCCCTCCCCCGATCTCGCTCCTTTTCTCCTTCCCTCCCCCGATCTCGCTCCCTTTTTTTTTTTTTTTTTTTTTTTTTTTTCCCCTCCGTTGGTCTCGCTCTTTCCTCCAAATTTCAGAGTTTATATTAGCACCACTGTTAGGTCACTCATGCAGGCCATACACTGGTTGAATTCTGAATGAATTTTCTTTAGGAATCATAATTTTCGTGCGTTTTGTAATCCGATGGTGCCACACTTTTTTTTTTTTTTTTTGAAATACAACCAACCAAGTCTTCAATTTCACCTCATGTGACTACAAAAAAGAATTTCCGTGGCCAAGAAGTTTCTTTTCTTCCCAGGTCACGACTCGGGCTTATTTCTTTTTCATTTGTATTTCTCTCAACTCTCCTATCACTGATTCGAAATTTGTTTTTATTTTTTTAAAAAAATTTCCAACATTCCTGATCATTCAAATTCGATGGTTACATGAAAATTGGCCGTTTCTGTGGCCCACTAATGTTGCGAAATTCAAACGAAAATTCATAGAAAAGATTTTTGAAGTAAAATTCCTAAAGAATTTTCTCCATGTATGGCTGGTTTAAGAAGTAAAGGGCTCACTGGATTTCTGGCAATGAAAGTGTGTTGTGGGGTTTTTTTTTTTTTCCAATTCATTCTTTGCATTAAGGCAAAGAACGGCAGTTTTGAGCGAACGGGTCGCACAACGATGGGCTCACAATTTTTAAATCCTGAATACTTGTCAGTGTTCTATAACTGTCTGTTCTTCACAGGTGAAACAAAGGAGCAGGTTGCTCACTCGGCCTTTGTGGAGAGGCTCCGGAAGCACGGCCTGGAAGTCATCTACATGATCGAGCCCATCGATGAATATTGTGTACAGCAGCTGAAGGAGTTTGAGGGGAAGATGCTGGTCTCCGTCACAAAGGAAGGACTTGAACTCCCAGAGGATGAGGAGGAGAAGAAGCAGCAGGAGGAAAAGAAATCCAAGTTCGAGAACCTGTGTAAGATCATGAAGGACATACTGGAGAAGAAAGTGGAGAAGGTTGGTATTGCACTCGTAGGTTCTGTGCTCGTCCATCGTTTGCCGGCTTCTAATGTCCCTTTCTTCCCATTCCAGGTTGTAGTGTCCAACAGACTGGTGACCTCCCCGTGTTGTATAGTAACGAGTACATACGGCTGGACGGCCAACATGGAAAGGATAATGAAGGCCCAAGCACTGCGAGATAACTCCACAATGGGCTACATGGCGGCCAAGAAGCACCTCGAGATTAACCCCGACCATTCCATTATCGAGACGCTGAGGCAGAAGGCCGACGCCGACAAGAATGACAAATCTGTGAAGGATCTGGTGATACTTCTCTACGAAACGGCTCTCCTGTCATCAGGCTTCAGCTTGGAGGATCCACAGACACACGCCAACCGCATCTACAGAATGATCAAGCTTGGCTTAGGTGAGCTCTGGAAATGGACGAGTAATTGCGAATGATTGGAGGATTTTTAGGTTGCATGTTCAGCTTTTGGTTAACTTGGATGTTTCTTCTCCACTCCACCACCCCGGTCACACCAATCCGACTCTGAGACGTGTGACTTCAGTGAAGTCGGAGGTCATTCTGACTTCTGGTGCGACTTGCAAGAGATCCGCGGCTTGCAGGACACCAATGTCTATGTAAGTCGTACCTGAAGTCGTGCATGCGCTACTCTAGCCACATGCCGCCCAGCCACTGTAGAAATACGGTGGCAGGGCGGCACGGCTGGGCAAAAGCACGTTTTAAAACGTGAGTTTTTAAAACCGGTAGGGGGCGTGCGTGAGGCGCGCCGCCGCCCTATCTGTCCTTCCGGTCACAGCCGCGGATGTCAGTCACCGGGTCACAGCCGGTCGTTACCAGCTATGTCCCGGCGATCGGCGGCAATCGCTGACAGAGAGCAGGGCTGCAGTAGCTATGCTTTCTGTCAGCTCCCTGACAGCTCAAGGACATGCTGATCGGGACAGAAGAGTTTCTCTCTCCCATTCAGCGGTGTCCCCTGCAGTACACCCCCCCCCCCCCCCCCCCCCTAGTAAAACACGCCCCTCACACAGTTAACTCTTTCCCTGAATAATAAACTTAACCCCTTCTTCCCCGGTGCCATTAGTACAGTGTCAGGGTTTTTTTTTTTTTTTTTTTTTTTTTTTTTTTTTTAGCACTGATCACTGTATTGGTGTCACTGGGGATGTCAGTGACCCCAAGTCAGTTCCCCCCCCCCCCCCCAAATGTCAGAATGTCTGCCGCAGTCCCGCCATAAGTCACTGATTATTAGTATAAAAAAAAACCTAAAAATCCCAGTATCTTTCCCGCCATTTGTAAACGCTATAACTTTCACGTAAACCAATTAATTTACACGTATTGGGATTTTGGCAGAAATTTATGACTAAATTTGATTTTTTTTTTTTTTTTTTTTTTCAAAAACATGGAGCAGAATACATTTTGGCCTAAATTTAGAACTAACTTGGAGTTTACTAAATATTTTTTTTATAGCTGAAAGTAAAAAAAAAAAATTATTGTTTTTCTTCAAAATTTTTGGCCTTTTTTTTTTTGTTTATAGCGTGAAAAATAAAAAGCGCACAGGTGATCAAATACCACCAAAAGAAAGCTCTATTTGTGTGAAAACATGGACGTAAATTTCGTTTGGGTGCAGCATTGCATGACCGCGCAATTATCAGTTGGATTAGTGCAGCGCCGAGTAGCAAAAAGAGGCGTGGTCATTAAGGGGGGTAAATCCTCAGGAGGAGGCGAGGGGTTTAGAGATCGGTGCGGCTCCGACCAAGCTGGAATTGCACTGATATGACCTCTTTAATTGCAGACAGTAGGGTGTGACTTGCCATTCAAATAGCAAGGTGTGACCGGGGACTTGCGGTGCTGAAGACTAGTCCTAGGCCCAGCTTTGGCTCTTCGATAAATATTTAGACAACCGAAAAAAGCACAATCCTAACAAAGGAAACTGCGGGGACCTTACAAGGTACCGTACCAACAACCGGCCTAAATCATTTATCTAAACGATGGGGGGGGGGGGGGGCGACTCCTATAAACAGTCGTCTCATCCTTGCAGGGGGCTTTAAGGGGAAGCTATGGGGACTATTACAGGTACCATACCAACAACCGTCTTACATGTTCAAAATTGTTACACAATATTAAACAAACACTGAGCATAATGCAGGCCATAGACGGGCCGAAAACCGGCCTTTTGTTTATAAAAAAAATCAGTCGTTCGATGGGCCACCGTTTACCACTAACGGTAAAAAATTGGCCGATTTTTGTCCCGTCTGCGGCCGGCATTTAAATTACTTCTGTCCCTGCAGAGAGTTCCGCTATTATATTTGACATGAAAAACTATTGCGGTTGGAACAATGTATCATTTTGGATACAGATGTTTTTATTCGGTTTACACATACATTGTTGCAACTGCAGGACTTTTCATATAAACTATAATAGCGGACTGGAATTCTTCCTTCTTTCTCCTTCCTTCCTTCTTCACGGCTCATGCGCACATTTTTTTTTTTTATCGGTAAAAACGATCGGATCCGATTTGCCCATCATTCCCGGGAAAAAATCGGCTGCGAATTTTCCAACTTGACCATTTAAAAAAAAAAAAAAAAAATACAGCTGACCAATTTTTTCCCCAGCCGAAAATCGGCTGATTTTCGACCTGTCTATAGCCTGCATAAGGATGCTTTCTAAAAACCTATCCCGTTATATTGTACTTAATGACTTGGAGAGAGATCTGCCAAGAGGAGTGAGACAAAATCCCTCCTGAGATGTGTGCGAACCTGGGGGGCCAACTCCAGGAAACGTCTGACCTCTGTGATTGCCAACAAGGGATTGGCCGCCAAGTACTAAGTCATGTTTTGTGAAGGGGATCAAATCCTTCTTTCCCCTCATGAACATGCAGATCCGTCATCATTTGTTAGACGCATTTCTGCTGAATTTGTTGTTGTATTCTGTCTCTCAGTGTTACACCGAACATTCCATTGTTAGACCGATCATTTCTGTGTGAGGGGCGAACATTCCATTGTTAGACCGATCATTTCTGTGTGAGGGGCGAACATTCCATTGTTAGACCGATCGTTTCTGTGTGTGAGGGGCGAACATTCCATTGTTAGACCGATCATTTCTGTGTGAGGGGGCGAACATTCCATTGTTAGACCGATCGTTTCTGTGTGAGGGGCGAACATTCCATTGTTAGACCGATCATTTTCTGTGTGAGGGGCGAACATTCCATTGTTAGACCGATCATTTCTGTGTGAGGGGCGAACATTCCATTGTTAGACCGATCGTTTCTGTGTGAGGGGCCAACATTCCATTGTTAGACCGATCGTTTCTGTGTGAGGGGCCAACATTCCATTGTTGGACCGATTTCGTTTCTGTGTGAGGGGCCAACATTCCATTGTTGGACCGATCATTTCTGTGTGAGGGGCCAACATTCCATTGTTGGACCGATCGTTTCTGTGTGAGGGGGCCAACATTCCATTGTTGGACCGATCGTTTCTGTGTGATGAGGGGCCAACATTCCATTGTTGGACCGATCATTTCTGTGTGAGGGGCCAACATTCCATTGTTGGACCGATCATTTCTGTGTGAGGGGCCAACATTCCATTGTTGGACCGATCATTTCTGTGTGAGGGGCCAACATTCCATTGTTAGACCGATCATTTCTGTGTGAGGGGCCAACATTCCATTGTGTTAGACCGATCGTTTTCTGTGTGAGGGGCGAACATTCAGCATCAGGGGGGGGGCAAATACACATTTCCTGCACTGTATATATGTGTGATTTTGCGCAGAGCGGCGCCCTGTAGCAGTAGATCTACTGTAGGGTGATAGGTGGTTAATATCAAGCCGTCTATATAATGCTCCGTACGGTTTTCTGTCTCTAATCAACAGCCCATAATAATCTAAGCATTTAAAGGAGAAGTTCACCTTTTGAACAAAAATAATAAATACACACTTTTTGCAGGTAAAGCATTTATTATTTTTGTCCATAAGAAGCCTGGAAAGCATTGCAACAGCAATCAGAAGATCGCTGGTGCCATGCAGGTCTCCTGCAGACCTGTCAGATTGTCTGCTAGTCCCTACAGGATGTGCGGGGGTCTATGGGATGTGCGGGGTGTACGGGGGTCTATGGGGTGTGCGGGGGATGTATGGGGGTCTATGGGATGTACAGGGTGTACGGGGGGTCTATGGGATGTGCGGGGGGATGTAGGGGGTCTATGGGATGTACAGGGTGTATGGTGGTCTATGGGATGTGCGGGGGATGCACGGGGTCTATGGATGTGCGGGGATGCACGGGGTCTATGGGATGTACAAGATGCACGGGGGGGTCTATGGGATGGATGGGGGGGAGGTCTATGGGATGTACCGGATACCGGATGCACACGATGGGGGGAGGTCTATGGGATGTACAGGATGCACGGGGGGGGGGGAGGTCTATGGGATGTACCGGGATGCACTATCGGAGGGAAGGGGGGGGAGGTCTATGGGATGTACGCCGGGGGATGGGGGGGTCTGCACACGCATCGGGGGGGGGGTCTATGGGTCATGGGATGCACGGGGGTCTATGGATGTACCACGGATGGCGGAGGTGGATCACGGGGGTGGGGGGTCTATGGATGTACCGGATGCACGGGGGGGGGGGGGGTCTATGGGGATGCCCGGGGAGGGTCTATGGATGTACACGGATGCACGGGGGTGGGGGGTCTATGGATGTACCGGATGCACGGGGGGGGGGGGGGGGGGGGTGGGTACTCTAATGGGATGTACCCCCACCCCCCCCCGGATGCACGGGGGGGGGGGGTACTATGGAATGTAATGTACCGGAACTGCAATAGCACACGGGGGGGGGGGTCTATGGAAGTAATACCCCGGAATCGGAGGGGGACAGTACCGATGCAGGGGGGGGGGGGGTCTATGGGATGTATCTGACGGATGCAAAACTGGGGGGGGTCTATGGATGTACGGAAGTATCCGGGGGGGTCTCTATGGGGATTACCCGATGCAACTGGGGGGGTCATTGGAAAAGGGATTTATCTGGGGGGGTCCTATTGGGGCGCGGCTGGGTGGGTGGGGTCTATGGGATGTACCAGATGCACTGGGGGGGTCTATGGGATTACAGCAGTGGTGCTCTGGGGTGTCCAGGGATGTTACCCTAGGATGCACGGGGGGGTCTATGGGGATGTACAACAGGATGCTACGGGGGGGGGGGGGGGTTTATGGGATGTACAGGATGCACGGGGGGGGGGGGGGGGGGGGGGGGGGTCTATGGGACGTAACCGGCCACAGATATACTGACCAGGAACCTCAACTGAACCTACCAGAGGGAGGGTTTGTGGGGAGGAAAAGTGATCGCTACTCTATTCTGCATGTGAGCCATTGCCTGCTCAGTTAAATTATCAGGATTTCTCCTTTTGAACGTGGCCCCTTCTACAGCGGCCTGCACATTGGGTATCTTTGTCCTTTG